TCCGGTGCCGGAAAAATAGTTTGTAGTTCCGTCCCGGTCCCAGTCCCGGTAAAATAATGTCTTTTGTCCCGGTTCCGGTCCCAGTCCCGTCGGGACCGGAACCGGGACGGTCCCGCCCATGTCTAGTAGTGAGTGATCGAATACTAAAAGTATATGTGGTAGTGAAAATATCAAATGTACATGATATGAGGTAATGTTGGGCCAGAACCCTCGTCCAGATTCAGATTTTTGGTGAATTGTTAAAGATCAAAATATTGAAGATGAAGAAATGTTATCAGTACCGATCGAAGCACAACATCAATCAGGTGAATCAACCAATGATTATGCACTGATTGATGAATCATTGCAGCGGCATATTGTGTTTTAGGTAATGACGTAGTTGATGAATCACAAAACGATGATGTCTTTCCAGTAAATAATCCGTCTGTTCCTTCAATACCAGTTCGTAAGTTGGATAATTCAGATAATAATTGTAAGTCACCAGTTTTTGTATTTTGTCATAAAAATGTTAGACAACAAGACACAAATAACATTCTAACAGCTGTTAAAAAGAAATGAAAATTATACGACGAACACTTAATACAACAAGCAGAACAGTATAAAATAGGTGATTGTGTAGGTGTTCAAATAAGTGACGTTGATCGAACAAATATTGACGTTAAACTTCTGCCATGTTTAATTTTTTCAAAAGATAAAAAAGATGATGATTTCGTTTTTAGAAGTATGTAAATTTAGTAAACTTGCGAACTGGTATACGGTTGAAAACTCAAACCGATTTGTAATTAGCATGTTCATCAGATTTAAAACTGAATGAAGTAACTTCTCTTGGTAACATAACATTAATCGAAGTTGCAAATTATTAGTGCGTGATGCTGTATTCGGTGCAATATGCGATTGTAAGACTAAATGTGGGACGAAACATTGTCCATGTAGAAAAGCAGGAGTAGCATGTTCAACAAAATCCCATGTTAAACAGCCTGGATGTCTGAATTCAACCTAATTAATACTTGCATGCTTTCTTACTTTTACTAAATGTCTAAAAGATCAGTAGATATTATACCAAAAAACCTATAAAAGTTGAAATTTACAAAAATATGCATGGCATCTTCTTCACTTTACACAGTACCACACAAAAAGTTTTTTTAGATTCATATTTCTTCAGCAAATTATGAATCTGGAAAAATTATCAAAAATTTCAAAATAACAAAAAACATTCAAAAAGTTTCAGGAACCACTTCGAATACAGCCATCTTTTCGCTTTGAAGAGCCAGCCATCTTTTAGATTTGAACGATCACGGGAAACTAAGCGCTGAAAAAAGTTTTAGTGACCTATTGTTGATACCGCTACTTTGTAGTAGTATGACTTCAACAAAATGTCCAACAAGTTAACTTACAATTCCATATCTCCCAATGGATACTAAGTTCGGTCAGCCTAATTTCTTGAACAATTTCTAGCTAAAATTTAAAGTATTTGCCTCGCTAAACCTTAAATTTTATTTTTGACTTGAGAACGCTCGTCATATTCTAAATTTGGCTGAACAATCTTCAACCAAAATTAAAACCAAGAATCTAATTTTAATTTTGGCTGAGAATCGTCAGTCAAATTTAAAAGTTAATTAATTTTGGCTAAAACGTACATTTTCATTTGTGTTGTGTCGACTACGATGCGAGACAAGAGATATTGAGGATAAATCCTCACAATCAGTCTTTCTTTTTTGCAATCTTGCTACCATTACTGAGATATCTGCAAGAACACATCGTATATAATGTAGCATAGTGAATATTTTAGTAACGCTAGTGATAGCAAAAATGCAAAAAAAGGAAGAATGAATCGAAAACCTTAATTTGCATCTGATTTTCTCTAAGACAATCACCCAGTCAATTACGTTTTAACAACGCATAAAAATTGCATGGACTAAGAGACTTTTTCTCATCATTGTACCGATATTGGTAATAACACCGAACTCTATGCAGAAGAAAATATGTTATTAATTAAACATATATCGCTTTAGAAGCTAACATGACATCATATGCAGTAAAAATCTAAGCTCACAACAAACTATAAAATAATGCCATATACTATGTAATATCGAGAATGATAAAATAGATTCATTTTTCACTTTTAAGTGATGTTTAACGACAGTCTCACGTTTCGAGAAACGTCTTTCGATTATAACAAATTAAAGTCATATCATCCCGATTGATCTTCATTTCCACTGATATGTACAGATTTGACTAGAATCAATCTGAGTTTAAGACATTTAGTGGGTTTTGTATGCGGATATCACTTCGTCGCAATGTTGACTTGAGCATAAATATTACACAGGTAGAAAGGACTCGTTATTCGCTCATATGGCGTACATTTCGGTAAAATAAATCATTGCTGAAGTATATAAATATATTCATTTTCTTGATTATTAATGAAAAAACATTATTTAGTTTGTATGCTGTAGAGTATTTGGTTTCTTAGTTTTGACCTAAAGCAAGCAAAATGTGACATTATAATATAGAAGTTAAAATGGTATGAAAACTGATGTGAATATGTAAGTAAGTAAAACGGTACGTACGTACCATTTTTACACGTTGTGATTGACCATCTTTGAATTTACGTTTGATTGAAGATCTATTAATAAGAACTGAGTTATCCTTGTTTGTCTCCAAACTCATGTTAAAATCATATGAACAGTGTGGGCATCGAACGCAAATTTGATCTGAAACTAAATAAAAACTAACTCTCATATATACAATATACTCAGATAAAACTGCAAATTACCTGATTGTTTTTGAATTTCTAAAATTGAAATAGATATATATTAAAACTATGTAAACTAAATGAAAAAACTTTTTTTATTCCTGGTGCGCGTCGCTGTCAGTCAGTACCAGTGCCGCACTGAAAAATGTCAATGCAACATGTTTTTGAAGATATATATATCAACACTACTTGACATCGGTGCCATTTCGGCACTGGCTGGGCAACATGACATATCATGCACACTGATAGTGCCACATTGAAACTATTTTTGGAGTGTTAGGCAAAGCATTTCAGCAAACAAACACTTAGATGTCTAATACCCCCATCATCTAGAATAATGCTAGGCTTGGATCGCAAGAAATACTCTTCATGAAGACATCCAAAACTATCGCTGTTAGCCCTCTTACTGTTGGAAAACTTTAAAATGTATATTCAGGGCAGATAAATATCTTTAATTAGAAAACAAAACGCACTATTAGCATATAAAACCTACCTTCAGTCATAACATTGGAGAGCACAGTAGATTTCAAGTGTAGCTGGATTGTACCAATATCATCTACTGTGCATAAAGTAAATGCCAGCTGAGATTTTTCTAATTGAAACTCCTGTATTAATTGTTTGGGACCCATCGCTTTTGTTGGACTGTAGACTATGAAGAAAACAATGAAACACCTCGTAATCACACACATCGAGATAATAGCGCTCTGAGATCTTACTCTCTGATTTACTCATCGAGGGATCAAACAGCGTCAATGCCGGAACATTTTTCAATTCGTCTTGTTTGGATTTTATCAATACCAAGTATAATCTAAAACATGGAAGTGATTTTGCATTTGAGTATTGTTATCATGATCCAAAATTCGTTGCGTACTTCATTATATAGTTTTCCATCTGGACTTCATTGATCTCTTCGTATATTGGATTTACATCTAGAACACGTTTATCATTGTTGGTTTGAAATTTATAAGGCATATAATATGGTTGACCATCTTTCGATGTAGTAATCCAATCTACTCGAATATATTTTTTACAATGATTTTCAAAATAAATACTAGGAATCTGAAAAAGTAATGGGTAGTCCACAATTGGTCAAAACGAAGATTGTTTTTTTGAATAGTTACTTTTATCGAGACGAAATGATTTCTGACACTATCTGTTACATAACGTGGTTTTCTAACTTGACCATTTTCTGGAAAATAATCACTTTTATAACGTGATCGATATGTTTCTTCCAATGGATGTACAAGTTGTAGTTGATCAGATGAAATTGGTATAATTGCAACTGATCCCGATAATAATATTGATCCTACCGTTTCAAGTTTAAAATTTTTAAATATCTGATAGTCTTGAACTAAATTTGAAAACAATTAGCAATTCTAATTATAAGAATATTTGAAAATTATACCTATTTCTTGACTCTGTTGTATAACAACATTATTTAGATTAAATTCACTATTTGTTGCTATTAAATCATCTGTATTCTGCGACACTATAATGATAAAAATGAAATTTTCAAATCGATTCAACAAAATTCATTTTTGTAACATAAGATTCTAAGAAAAGTTTCTGTTGCATACACAAGCATCTATGTGTTACAAAATTAGCGCGCATGAATTTCTGCCAATTGTCTTTAAGAATCTTTATCGGAATACTTCATTTCAATTGTTTCTTTTTATAATGCTAAAGGTGTTCTAATATAGAAGTAACCATTCTAGAAGACACTTACAATTCTTGTGTCGCTCTGACTCGTTTGTTTCAACACTAACCTGAACACCTACAAAATGAAGTAACGGCGAATTATATAATTAGATTGACATTCTTTTTATCAAGCTCTTACACACCTGTCTCACCAACAATATCGTTGAACTGATCGGTTTGATCATACTGATATTGAGAAACTTGAAGAAGAAAAAAAGTTGAAAATTTGTTTCATAAATCTTCTTTTCGAAATACATACTATCTTCCTCCACGGATAGTTTGTCATAATTTAAAACTATGTCAGGTACTAAAATCGACATAAAAAGTTAGCGACAAAGTTCCTAGCAGCTATTTTCAGAAGATGAAATTACTATTATATAAAAAGTTTTCGTCATACATAACGGTAATATTAGCAGAATCAGATGTAATATCAAAAAACTTAATGAGGCAGCATTTTGATTGTTAAACTAACGATAATTTTAATAAAATCTAAAATGAAAATGAATTTATTTTCCATATATCCAGTTGCAGCCTAAAAAAGATACTAAATTCTTCGTTATTTTACATTCATTTTCTTCTCAATTCAAAATTAGTCATCAAAATAGAAAGATAGGTAATCAATAGTTTATTTTAGTTTCAATTGTAAACTTGGTGAATACTGTCTTTACAGCATAAAAACTATAAAAAATAATTTAGCCAGATTTAAAATAAGGTTATTTGTCTCATTAATATACTTTAAAACAAAAATTAAATACTATAAGAGTGTAATAAAATATTTCGACAACTAATAACTATATCGCGCGTGTGTATACAAGTACAATAAAATGAATCACTATTGATATGTATAAATATAGTTGATTAATTGATATAAGAATAGACGCGCAGATGATATTGTTGGATAAATAGAATGGGTTAAATCTTAAAATATTTATTGTGTCACAATCAGTACTATACAATTCAATCTTATCTATAAATAAAATAAAAACAAGAATAAGCCATCATATTCACTTCTAGTGCTTCTATTTCACATTTTATTACTTCACTTTTTTAGTTGTTTTATTTGGACGCTAGATAATGTTAAAAAATTTGTAAATTTTACAGATATAATGTTATATAAAAAGAAACGTCATACCTTCTTGATTGACGGTGTCCGATCGTCTGTTTTACGTTTAGTTGATGAATTAGTAGTTTCGCTTTGAGCAGATGTCGATGATGATAAAGCAAAACAGTGAGTGCAATGAGGACATGTGAACTGATACGTTTGTTTAGCTGAAATCAAGTACAAAAAACTTAACAATTTTCGCGCTACATGAAGAAAACAGAGGCGTACTTGACGACTTTAGTACACCTAAGGGAGAACAGAAAAAATGATAGAAATTGCAGAAATTATCCGTACTTGTAGAAGATGCAGGCTTGATTGTTGATTCTAAATTCAACAAAAAGCGATTGAAACAATTGCGCTATTATGGTCAAGAAAATTCACCTTCTGTCATTAATCTCGAAATAACTGTTGTTTCTGAATGTGTAATATAGATGTTATCGGCTTGTTTCGTGCATAACGTAAAGGCCAGATGAGATTTTTCCAATTTATATGTTTCGATCAGCTTTTTAGGATTTAACGGTTTCGACATCACATCTAAATTTCGACACGTATAGAAAATGTATCCAAAACGATCTGAGTTGAGCTATTTCTCAGTCTTCAATCAAATTTTTCATTTTCCCACGACAACTATTAAACAACGAGTAATAATACAAAAAAAACCGCGTTTACTCTCACAATCTGACGGGATAAATAGTTTTAATGGTTGTGCTTGTCTCAGTTGATCCAACTTTGATTTGATCAAAACCAAATGTAACCTGAAGTAAGACGTAATTAAGATGACAGTAGTACACTAGCGATTATATTGCACATACTTCATTACATAATCGTCCGATGCATTTATGGTAACCGGTAGGTATATGGGATTTTCATCTAGAACCTTTGGATTGTTGTTATTAATTTGAAATTTATAAGGACTGTAATAATGCTGGTCATTAACAAGTCCAGTTAACCATGCTACACGAATATATTTATTTGAAAGTTCGTTTATATAATCTACAGGCATCTGATTGAAATTATAACAAATATTTGTTTTAATAATAGAGCAATAATAGTTACTTTTATCGAGACGAAATGATTTCCGACACTATCTGCTACATAACGTGGTTTTCTAACTTGACCATGTTGTGGAAAATAATCACTTTTATAACGTGATCGATATGTTTCTTCTAATGGATGTACAATTTGCAACTTATTTGGTGGAGTGTTGGTAACACCCACAGATTTTGACAATGGGATACTATCTTGTAATCCATTGTCATGACTTTCGTTTTTGTTACTTGTACCTGTGTAAGATTTACAAAAACAATAGTATTAATAGTGAAACAACTTCTTAATGACAACAATTACCTTTTTCATTATGTGACCGTATCATTGGTAAACCTTGAAGTGGAAAATAATCAGTTTAATACGTTTAACTAACATGACAAACAGTATAATTACATTGTGTTCTCAATTCACATGTTGCCTGTGCTATTTCTTCATTCGTATAACCTATAAAGTAATACGATGCAACATTTGATTAATATAAAATTTCCATTGCAACTCACTGTCGCCAGTTCCGTTGTCATTTGCAATAATACCATTTTGAATAAATTCCGTCCCTTCATCATTTTCTAATATGTATAAAAACATTATAATAAAACAGAAACACTACCAAATATACACTATAATTACCACTAAGCCCGAGTAAATCACTGATTGTTTTAAGCATAGAAGGACTATGACACAATGGGAAATTTAAGTCTAAACAAAAACGATCGATAAATCATGAAACTCTTGTGACTTTAAAGTTGCTATCGTATATACTGCTGAGCATAAACATTTCGGACTGGATGTGAACATCGACCTTCACGCGATATCGTGCGTAGATTATGTTTTACACAAAATTTATCGCTTAAGTGGTATTCTAAAACTTCATTCACATGCCTTATCTCGCCAAGCGTTAGATCTTGTATACTAATCGTTTATTTTCAGCTGTTCAATAAATAAATGACTCACAGACAATATTGAGACGGCAGCCGTGTGTAGTGACAAGGACTTCTCATGGAATATGAGAACGAATTCGGTGCTTCAGGACGAGTGGACAGTGAGGTTTTTGAAAATGAAGGCGTCCTCTAAGTGATGATTTTCTGAAAGAAAGTCGATGTCGTTTAAAAACATCAAGAAGAGGTTCCCATCCGAAAACCTCAAGAGCCTGATCAGTCTTGTACTGAATTCTCTCAAGACAGTCCATGTTACTTTCGGTCGTATTTGAATAAATTGTCAAATCATAAAGAAATTTGCTCCGAAATATAACGTTGTGTCATTCGAAACAAGATTAGTATTCCATATATAGAAGTTTAAACATGGTCTATTTTCATCGAATAGAGAGTAAAAATTATCCCGCATCGAGAACTGAAATGCTGATATTTGCTGTTGTCGATGCTTCATCCTCTTCTAGCCTCTTAAGCTATTTTGTTGTTTCAGTTTATTTTCTCGCGCTTGTACTACGGAGTACTGTAGAATCTTATCGATTGTTTTTATCAATGATGCTTAACGAAAGTCGAAAATAGAGTAAAGAAAAACTGTTATGAAGCGTTTATTATCCACTTTACCTGTTACATCAATATCATAAAATTTGTCGTTTTCATCAAATGGATACCGTACAAACGTAGATGCTGAAAAATGACATGAGTTCAATATAGTTTGCTAATTTTGTGGTTAATAGTAATTAGGGGTGGCACATTACTGTTACTTTTACGAGTAATCCAAATATTGTAAATATTTCTATTATCAGCAACAGTAAAACTGGAAAGTATGACTGTTACTGGTAATAGAAATATTTACAATATTTGGATTACTCGTAAAAGTAACAGTAATGTGCCACCCCTAATAGTAATAGAGTAAGTACAACGGAAAACAAAATGGTATAAACAATTTAAAACTGTGGCATACCATCAGTTATCTCATTGTTTATTATTTCGGCACTGTACAGTAATGATGGAGAAGAAGCTAAGAAAAATAAAGAGTTCCAAAATCAAAATGATACTATGAACAATAGAACAAAAGTATTAGAAACTTACAGATACTGCTTGGGCTTTCAATAAATTGTCGGCCATAGTCTGAACTGTGTAAATCGTGACAAGGTCCATTAGCTTGTAAATAGAAAAACTTTGAGATTATTTTACGTTCAAACTTGATGTTCAATCCCAACGGTGAGGAAGAAGAAGAAAATTCTTTCATGCAAATCAATAGATACTGACTGAACGCCTTTTACTAATAGTTAAAACATTAATTAATACTAAGGTACATAAATAAAACTTACTTAATACAGTTTCTAATGTATCCATGCTATAAGATACTAATTTTGATCGTCCATTTTATTCCGACAAATCGCGACCTGCGAATATAAAAACGCATATGTTCTTATTTAATTTTTTTCCCCAAAGTAAGCAATTATCCACAATCTTATAAACATATGTAAAAAGGTAGCTATGAAATGTCTTTAAACAACTGAAGGATAATAATAGCAAGACCCTCTCTCCTTAATTTAATCAACATGCTGTGACAATATATTCAAAATATGTTCGACCTTTAATTTTTACACGTTTTTCTCGTAGAATAAAAAGAAAATAAGAAAAGAAATCGAATACCATACTGTCATATATAGAAGATGGCAAAAACATTCAAGAAATTTAAGAGAGAGTGTTATAATCATTGTATTTTTTGTTCTATCACAGCTACATCGTTTTAATCTACTTTATACTAAACACACCTATCTAAATGTGTTGAGAACAAAAATATCTTACGGATGGAATAAAGGAATAAAGGTGTTTTTTTTATTTCCGGTTCTTTTGGACGAGCTGAGGGTTTTTTCCAATGTTTTCAGTACGCTCATGCGTCATTACTACTACGGCAAATACATGACATCACCATAACATTTTACTGAAACTAAGTACAGTGCAGAACAGAACAAAAAAAAAAAAGTTGTTCTTATTTGACAGGAGAATATAAAGGAAAAGAAATACTATTTCTATCATAAAACCTTGAAAACAGCCGTAGAAAATGCACTCAATGAAAAGAAAATGTTTTATGTCAATTGCCACACGTTCGACTTGGCCTTGTTAATAGTAAATTTCTTCAAATTCATTTTATATGATGCATACCTATGAATAGCTGCATAACACAACAAATAAAATTTAACATATAAAAATATCGTCCAAAATTTGTCTGCCTGTATTATAATCGAAAAACAAACGCATATATATCGTATAATATTAACTAACAAAGTCAACGCCCATTTATTAACTTCTATACTTTAAGATCCATCATCTAGCAAAAAATCTTTCTTATTTTATATTCTATTTTGATTGAAATTCAGCTCACCACTTCTAGATTTTCTCGAGTATTTGGTAAAACATTCACCAAAATAGCCATATTCTGAATTGTTTTTCATATAAAGCCTGAGAAATACCGTGCTATTTTGTAAATTATACTTTCTTTATATATGATCGTACAGTTGTCCGAAGTGCAGCTCGATTTATAAAACTATAGAAATTTTCTTGGAAGCTAAGGATGATCGGTAACCGTTAATCTACCGTCGGTAATGGTAAATGAATTTAACGGTTACTGCACATCCTTGTTAGAAAGTATGACCTGTCACTGATTCTGACACAGTTTCTGAAAAATCATAAGGTCTTTCTCGAAAATTTTCCTCCACTGGCCCTCGACGCATACTAGTATATTCTTCGTCTGTACTTGTTAGGCTTCAAATCAGCTCTGTTGAACATGATCGTTGAACTTGTTGCTAGTTAATGATTATTATTCTATAACAAATTCCAATAATGCGAGAAAACGTTATTGTAAACAGAAAACATAATTGAAAGTTAACATAATTAATAGTACACGAAACCATTCAATTAATGTTTAAACTCACTAGCAAATCAAAAATTAGTTGTCTAAGGCTCACAGGTGTATCTTACAACCTTTCTGTACAATTGGAATTACTCTTTAACTCCTTAGAAATCAAATTATATTTCAATATTAATCTGCTTTCGCTCCATTGGCGAGCCAACTCAGCGCAATTGACCAATTCTTTTAAAAATATTTTTTTCTATTTTTATATGAAAATTACTTAGACTACTTAACGATCATTTGTGATGCAAAATTTTGTTGATGAGTCGCTGCTGCCTGTGTTTGTTTTAGCCAAATTCTCTGTAAACTAGCTCTACGTATAACTGAATGACTTGTGAAATTTCTTTTCCCAGCAAAATAAGCTTTAAAAATGTTTTGTTCCGACCCTGTTGTGGGTCAATCTTAATTTTTTTATCCTAGCCCCGATGTTTCGCTCGAAGAGAAATATTCATTGAAAACAATAGCATTATTAAGTTAAAAAAAATAAGTGGACAAAAACAAATTGGTCAAATTTCTTCCATTTATTAGCAATACTCCAAAACATCCATAAGTTCATGAAAGTTCACAAAAAAAAGCTGACTAATTAATAGATTTTTCTACCAGATATGTGTGCGATTACCTGCATTCAAACGTCAGCAGATAACCATTAGATAATAAAAATACAAAGACATAGGATTTACAAGGTGTTAGTACCAAATTTTTCACATGAGTAAAATCTATAGAAAAATAAAAATCTTGTTCAAAAATCCAATAATTCTTGAATAATATAATCAGTAAAAAGTCTTGATTACAGAAAAACGATTCATAAATGAAAATATCTTATTTAGAAATGTTTAAGAATAGTTAATGTCCTGTTTAACATCCTTCAAAACCATTATATGGGGCGGATAAGTGCCCTTCAGTTGATACTAAAGGACTTGTAGACTAAATAAAACATAAAAAGTAGATAGCAAAAGTAACATTTTACAATTCAAACAAATCATGCAAGACATACCCATAATGACGACCTTTCCGATCTACGTTTGCGTTTTCGATCATTTGTATTTATTTTAGAGGCATTACAACTACTATTATCAGAAGAAAACGATGTCAAAATGTTACACAAAATTCACATTAGAATTGACGGAATAAACATTTTCACATGGTTCTCGTTCTAACAATAAAACAATGAAGGAATAATCACATTGCTCTTTAAAAAGTTACAAGATTGAGTACCTTTAATTATCTCAGTAGAGATATGATTAAGCTCCAACGATTGATCAGCTAATATTCTCGGCTCTTTACAAACTGTTTTTACATCAAAATTGATTTTTTCTTGTTGGTAAGATGGTGAATTTGTGAGCGATGACTATGTGATATAAGAAAAAGATTCAGTTGTTTAGTATTCCTAATATTTTCTGACATCTGGAAAATTTTGAGAAAAATTTACTACATTATGTTCAAAATAAAAGTTTTAATACCTTCTTTTGATTGCTGTTTAAGTCAAAGGGCACCTTACATTCTGGACATGTGACACGAAGTTCGGTGGGCGACACTGCTGACGTTGAGACCATATAAGTGTCATTTCCCTCACTTTTATTAATTGGTTGTTTGCTTTTCTTATTCTCAGCTGGTACTAAAACGATTTTGTAATTCCATAAGTGTTATTTAAGGTCTCCTCCCGTTAGAAGCGTATTTCAGTAATTAAAAGTCTGATCTCAATTAAACTTTCAGGAAATGTTCACCTTATGATTATACTCTTTCCGTAAAATTTTGGTGAAGTCATCTATCACCGTTTCAGAGATGGCGCTTGATTAGATGCCAAAATAGGACCGTTTGTAGCGGCAAGATTTCTCGGTAACGAAACGTCATGGAGAACTCAGGAAGATCTCAAAATGACGAAAACACATATGGCTACAGGCTAACAGAGCCCGATTTTTGATATTTTACTTTTCAAAATAATGGTTAGTATCAAAAGCCCAAAATTCGAAAAAGTTTCATTAACTTGCACAAAGATCTTTTTCTAACCAAAAATGTAGACTGAATCAGGCTCTGCTAGCCTCTAGCCACGTGTGTTAGCTTCATTTTAAGACCAATCCGAGCTCTTTACATCGCTCCGCTATGGAGAAATCCTGCAACTAAAAAGTCCTGTGAACACGAACTTCGCTTTTGACATGAAGTGGCGCTAGTATATGATGCATATTTTCGCGCTTCTGTATAAAACTTTTATAACTTTTGGTTGAAACATTGCCTGGAGTTGGGAGACGTCTCATTTTGATGAGAAATGTTCGCTCTACAACTTAGTTGCTTTAAAACTATTTTTTCTCTCGATTTTGTATTGATAACACATAGCAGTGGAAAAGTCAGTTCTTCAGCGTTTCCGGGAAACTACCTGAAAAACTTGCAGAAACCTTCGATGAAAGTCTTACTGTCATGAATTCTGACAGTAGGCATCTTGGATTATCTAAGAATACGCTTATCTCAATATTGATCTTTTTATAAAAAAAAGTCAATATTGTGTTAAGAAGAGGAATTAATTACTAAAATTTCCGACAGGAGTGGGGCCTTAAATGAGCTGAAAAGTATTCATCGACATCCATCTTACACTCAAGTACGTCATGCGAAATACAACTGATCCCACTGGGATAATACATGCCATCAGGAGACTTGAATACAATATCAAATGCCAATTGGGATGTTTTCAAATTGAGATCTTTAATCAAATCTTTAGGCTTCTCACTATTGAAGTTTTTCACGCCTAATCAAACATAAACAAACTTATAGAATCTTCTTTGAACCGCTGTATTAATCTTCTCTTACATGATGATACAAGTTCCATCGCCGAATACGATCGTAGTTCGCTAGGCAGTTCACCTTGTTTATTACGTAGCATTATTAATTTTCTAAAGCTTTAAAAAAATCAAAAAAAGGAAATTAGTCAATGCATCAGAAAAACTAGTTATAATCTATCTGTATAAAGACCATTAAATTGTCCGAAGTTCTATACTTCAAACTTTTCCTTTTTATAAGAACAGTGTATAGACAGTACCGGTCCAGTATGCACACTTATAAATATCAGTAGCCCACTGTAATTAAAATCATTAATAATCGATGCATAGTTAATTGAATTTTCTAGCGCAATATATATAGGGCATTGGATAATAATAAAGTATACGTTTTGTATCATTTAGATTCCATGAGATCCGTGCCACATTATTTCAACTTTTGTCGTGTAAGCTAGAATGAATGATCAACTGATTGGA